TGAGTGTGGAATTCAATGTTCACTTTTATATTTACACACGATCTATCTCTGATATTGAGCACTTTATACCATAAATTTAGCATACCTAAAACTATATTTGTCCATATATATAAAATATATATATATATATATATATATATGTAAATATGTGTGTGTGTGTGTGTGTGTGTGTGTGTGTGTGTGTGTGTGTGTGTGTATGATATCTTATCTTATATTATATTTTATTAGTCATACATGACTAAAATGTAAATCTGTAAAAATATAATATAAATAAAGACGAAAGGAAAACCATTCTTGGCCATCACGTTTCCTCGTCGGATACATTATATCAAGGCCAATTAAAGGATTTTACTTGGCGCCTAATATTGATAAAACGAAATAAAAAAGAAAATTTAATTTTTCAAATTTTTAAAAAATTTGAGACGCTCATATATCGGGCTAAGTGAAAGTCATGGTAAATTATGGATGATGCCAAGTGATATAATCTTCTATGTCAAATAAACGAAATTAACTTTTTACTTCTTTTTTAAACCGGATTTGTGTATATTTTTAAGCTACAGTGCTTTTTTCTCCAATATGGCGTATATTCGACATGAAATAACCCCAAAATAGTTATGTCGTTGTTTACCTAACGTAACCTTACTATCCAGATCATTTTATTAATATATATATATATATATATATATATATATATATATATATATATATATATATATTTGAATAAAAACAGACCACTTTAAGGTTCCATGTAAAAATTATTTCACCACAGCCCTTTTAAAGGGCTCTGGATCATCAGACTTTACTTCTAAAGGTTGAAATGAAAAATGAAAAGAAATTCACACATTTTTGAGGGGCCGTATTAAGCATATGTAAATCAACGAAGTGAGGAAGTGAGGGGGGAGAGAAGATATGAGTGAGTTATTTGTACCATTTCAATTCTTTATTTCTAACTCCACTTGGTGTGGGCCAGACATCGCTTAACTTAACGTATGTTATCTTTAGATATGGATGGGTAATGGGTGAAGAAGAAAACCGACATAAAAGGAAGAAGATACAATGAAATAAATCATGATCATGAAAGAAGGTTTCACTCAATTTCTTGGACGCTGTTATTTCGCATTACTTTAAAGGTTGTATTTGGGGGTTAAAGTTTGATATAAATCTAAATGTCTAAAAAATCTACGAAGAATGTATTATATATTATTATTATTATTATTATTATTAAAGAGATAATCATATATTGAATCAATTACCAATATTAATGCAATTAATGGCGAAATCTCTTCACTAACAGACTTAATATAAGCATTAACCTACTAACAATCCACTGAATGATGCGAACCTTATGTATAACATTGTTGTCAGATGGATCTGGTGTATTTTTTAGAGCAGCAAGTACTTTCAAGGACTTCATGTCCTCATCATCAGGCTGTAATTTTTTTTCTTTAAATCAAAACTTGAAGATGAAATAAATGTGTTGTAGACCGAAAGATGTTTTTTTTAAGAATGTGTTATTTATTAACGGTTATATAATATTGGAACGTGTAAGTCGCAACGCTAAATTTCAAATATTTCAAGTGAAAATATTTTATATGATTTTTGTAACTTGGTAAATCCACGAATTCTTTTGTTTTGTGTTTTCCAGTTAACGTGACATGAACTAAGTACATAGTTCAATTAATAGAGTGATATGTCTTAGGTGTTTTTTTTCTCCGGAATTTCGTACTGCGAATCAATTTATACATAAGGATCGCATCATTCAATGGATTGTTAGTAGTTTAATATTTATATTAAGTCTGTTAGCGAAGAGATTTCGCCATTAATCACATTAATATTACTAATTAATTCAATGCATGATTATCTCTTTATAATATAAAATATATGCTTAATATAATATATATATATATATATATATATATATATATATATATATATATATATATATATATATATATATATATATAAAAGAAATATAATGTAGTGGTTCCAACGAAAAAAAGTATGTATATTAAAAAGAAGAGCAGAGAGGTGCCGCAAACGTTTTTGGTTGTAATGTGGATTTATTTAGAAAAAATATTATGCTTTGTTTTACATAATATTTTACATATTTACATATTTTCATATATATATATATATATACAGAGATAGAGATAGAGAGAGTGTTTTTTTAAGTGTTTCACCCCAAGCAAGGTGGGAAGCCACTAGCACGCAAGGGGTTACAGAGAGTTGGAGCAAGAGCAAATAGGAGTGATAGAGGAAAGGATGAAGAGAAGGATAGGGTATAGATCAGGGCATCAGGAGATGTCGATTGGCATTACATTTAAATAGTTGGAGATGATAGCTATTAGGGAAACAGGAAAAGGGGAGGGAGTTCCACAGGCAAGAAGTGCGAGACATGAAGCTATTGGAGTAGAAGAGACGGCTACATTTAACAGTTTCGACAGTGAAAGGGTGAGAGCGAGATGCCAGCCTAGTAGAACGCTTAAATTCCTGAAGTCTGGGAACCAGCGAAAACAGCATGAAAGTATTTGTAAAAAACGACAGAGGGAGGCAACGGCACATCTGTGAGAGAGCGACTGTAGACGAGATGCCAGATCGCGGTCAATTAATATACATATATTAATATACATATATATTATGAAATGGACAAAGTCCGACAATTATTTTAAGACATTTGCTCTGTTTATAATAAACAGTATTAACAACATTTACCGGACTGAATGTCCGAGAAATTTTCATAGAAAATATGCGTCCTCCGACAGGAATCGAACGTGTATCCTATACGGAACCGTCATATAGCCTGACGTGCCATTAACCGATTGGGCCACAGAGGAGTGTATCGGTTAGCAAGGTCGATTTTATTGTTTTTAAAGTACAATTTCCCATGATTTTCTCTCATACATTCATATCTACTCGATGCGTATCCAAATGTAAACAAATGACGTCACACATTATGAAATGGACAAAGTCCGACAATTATTTTAAGACATTTTTTATGTTTATAAGTTCTTTTTATAGATACAAATATTTTCTATGAAAATCTCTCGGACATTCAGGCCGGTAAATGTCATTAATACTGTTTATTATAAACAGAGCATTTACTTAAATATTTGTATCTATAAAAGAATGTATAAACATAAAAAAATGCCTCAATATATATATATATATATATATATATATATATATATATATATATATATATATATAATAGAAAAGTTGTGGTAAAACAACACGTTCCAGCGAAAATCCGAAACCTTAAGTACACTCCCTCGGACATTTTTGTTTAATACATACGGGTCTTCCATCGCAGAAGACCTTATAAATAGCCATAATTGTGTTGTTAGTTTTTAGTGCGGACGCTTTTACCATCCTTAGCAAGTTTCCTCAAATTACCGCCTAAAAGTGTTGGAGGTCATCTTCATTCTATCATTAAAGCTTTCTCTTTGTAAACAGAAGGACTTTATATTAGGCCTCCAACTAATTACCATTTAAATATTAATTTTTTTCACCCACCAATACAGTTTGTCCATTGTTTTGTTTTAATTATATAATTTACTTTATTTACATTATTCGGACTATTGTCCTCATCGTTTTCGCCATATTTATCACAACGTTCCGGTCGTTGTACGCTCCGGCCTTCTTCAGGTGGTTGGAATGTCGAACTGAACCCTGTATTTCGCTCACTGGGGTAGACTGTTCTAGTTCCACGTGACATGTTCTTGATGGATGTCAGTTATCAGTTATCAGTTATCAGTTAGATAATTTCCCTCTGAATGTTCTCCACTGCCTTAACCGGGTATTGAACTCACACTCTTTGGGTCCTGTCACTGGATTTAACTATGTGTCACTGTGCCATGTATACAACGGCCGTAACGTTGTGATAAGTATGGCGACAAAGATGAGGACAATAGTCCGAATAATGTAAATAATGTACATAATACCTCATCTCAGAAATATAGACAGATACTGAAAGTTCGAAACGTTGTAATAAATATGGCGACAAAGATGAGGATAATAGTCCGAATAATGTAAATAGTGTACATAATACCTCATCTCAGAAATAGAGACAGATACTGAAAGGCCGAAACGTTGTAATAAATATGGCGACAAAGATGAGGACAATAGTCCGAATACTGTAAATAGTTTACATAATACCTCATCTCAGAAATAGAGACAGATATAATTTATTCTATTTACCTCGATTTAACTCTGTTGAACGAGATACGAAACCGCTTAGCTAGCCCGTTTTTCATTTTTACTTTTTATTATCATGAGTGGCAATAATAAAACTAATTTTTGTCTGTTCATGGCAGTCATAAAATTCTGTACCATCACACACACATATATATATATAATAATTTTTTCAAAATATATATATATATATATATATATATACACATACACACACACACACACACACACACACACACACAAAAGACATATATATATATATATATATATATATATATATATATATATATTATATTTCAATATATTTTCTGTTAACTTTAGGGTATGTCACATCTGTTTCAAGTTTGCATGTTTTTTCTTGTCTTCTGTAGAGGCAAGTCGTAATAGGCTCGTAACTCATATCATGATGTTCACATTAATTTATTTTTAGAAAACTGTATTTTCGCAAATATATTAATAAAAAAAATGGATGCTGTCAATATTAAAAAGTAACATCGTGTTTCTATATGAAAGCCTATGGAAATGTGTATTATGACCTCCACTTTTAATGAGGATGAACAAGAAAACGAAGCAATTATTTGTCCTGTTCGCTAAAAGCTGCCAAGAGGGACAAGAATGATGCTTTGTATAAAATTGCATTGTAATTACCGAAATACGAAAAGCAAAATTGTAACATTTTTGCAGTAGAATAAATTAGCGCCAATTCAGCGGAGAATTCAGATCCGAATATAATAATCGAAAATGCTTACATCAACAAATGCCAATCTGACTTCTTCTCAAAGAGATGGTATCCCTACAGGGACTGGTGATCAGATGGAAGAGTCTAGAGAGAATTCCTTGAATTCTTCCGCGCTAAGGGGAGATTGAAAATGGTAATTGATAAGAAAAGGATAACGAAATCTCAGAGACAAACGAGAAAGTGAAATGAAACTGGGAAAGGAAGATTTGACAAGAAGAAATCTAGAAAGGAAGAAATCTAGAAAGAAAGAAAGAAATTTAGAGAGAATTCTAGAAAAAGAAGTCTAGAAAGAAAGAAACCTAGAAACAAAGAAACAAATAAACAAAGAAAGGAAGAAAGAAAGAACTCTATAAAGAAAGAACTCTGGAAAGAAAGATTCCTGGAAAGAAAGATTTCTGGAAAGAAAGAACTCTGGAAAGAAAGATTTCCGGAAAGAAAGAAACAAGTCTTGAAAGGAAGAAAGAGAGAAAAAAGAGAAATAAATAAATAAATAAATAAATAAAGAAAGAAAGAAAGAAAGAAAGAAAGAAATAAAGAAAGACGTACAGGAAGGCATAAGAAAGAAAGAAAGAAAGAAAGAAAGAAAGAAAGAAAGAAAGAAAGAAAGAAAGAAAGCAAGAAAGAAAGACGTACAGCAAGGCATAAGAAAGAAAGAAAGAAAGAAAGAAAGAAAGAAAGACGTACAGGAAGGCATGAGAAAGAGAGAAAGAAAGAAAGAAAGAAAGACGTACAGGAAGGCATGAGAAAGAGAGAAAGAAAGAAAGAAAGAAAGTAAGAAAGAAAGAAAAAAGAAAGAAAGAAAGAATCAAACAAAGGAAGGAAGAAATAAGGAACTCTAGAAAGAAAAAACTTTGGAAAGAAAAAGTTTGTAAGGAAAGAATTCTAGAAAGAAAGACCCGAAGAATTCTAGAAAGAGAGTAACAAAGGAATTAAGTACTTTGGAACTCTAGGAAGAAAGATCTCTAGAAAATACTCTGGAAAGAAAGAAAGAAAGAAAGAAAGAAAGAAAGAAAGAAAGACGTACAGGAAGGTATGAGAAAGAAAGAAAGATGGCTGGAATGAAAAACCTTAGAAAAAATAACACACGAAAGATCTCTATTAAGAACCTTAGAACTCTAGAACTCTAGAAAGGAAGGAAGGAAGGAAGGACGCTGGAATGAAGAGTTTCTGGAAGGAAAGAAAAACTCTAGAATGAACTATAGAACTTTAGAAAGAAAGAAAGAAAGAAAGAAAGAAAGAAAGAAAAGAGAGCACTGAAAAATGATTGTGAAAACAATAGCATAAAAGAAAGAGGAAAGACAAAGAATGAAAGAAAGAAAGAAACTAATCAAATTAGACAGAGAAAGAGAAAGTCAAGAAGAAAGAAAGTTAGAAAAAAGAAAGAAATAAAGAAAAAAGAAAAATATTGAGTTACAAGGTAAAAGAAATTAAGAAAGAAATAAAATAGCATCAAAAGCCAAAAGAATGAATACACAAATGGATGAAAGACAGAACTAATTGATAAACGTACGATATTAGAAAAAAGGAATGAATGAATTAATGAAAGAATGAATGAAAAAAAAAAAGAAAGAAAAAGGAAATATTATCAAAAGCAATAAAACGAAAAGGAAGATAAAGTAAAAGAAACAAAGACACAACCAAAAGTCTTAGACATTTTGTACGAGCAAGATTCAGAAAAATCAATTAATAAAATTGAATTTGACCAAGAAAGGCTAAAATTGTGAAAACAATAATTGTTTGATTGTTCGTTGTGAAAGCGTGAGCCAAAGAACAGAATAAAACGTGCAAATCAATAAAAGTTTTTGAAAGGTAAACGAACAGAAGAAAAGGAAAGGCAAAAAAACTCTCTTCATGTGGTTTTAAACGCCGGTTCATTTAATTATAGCGTAAAATTATAAAATAAATTAAAATAGTCGCCATTAGCAAAGTCCTGTTCTTCCAATGGAGCTTTCTTTATTGATGTTCCCAAAAGCTCGTCTTTAAATTGAATAAAACCTGTAATGAACGTCAATATGGGTTCACGAAATGAAACTGGAGGATTTTTTTTCAATCCTCAACGGCAACGAGATCTTACCGCGATATCGTAACGTGAGATTTCTTCTTTTGCACTGGGCTTCATTTAACTGTGTGTTCAACGTCATAATGCTGCCTTTGTCTTTAACAACAAATCCGGAATTATTTTCTTGTTTGTCCGAGAGGGAAAAAAATGAGCAGAGATGGTGAATTTCAATCAACCATTATAAAAGTAGAATTGTTTGATAAGAAAAAAAGTAGCTAAGGGCTTTTTACACAGATCACGAGCTCTCGGAGAAGCGAAAAGATCACATAGAGTCTAAATGAACGGAGTAAGGTCATTATAATACTCAGGTTCATTCGTACATATGAGTATGCCTTTAGGAACACAACAAATTGCAGAAGATATTTCATGCTTGACCAAATCGCTCAAGAAGTCTCTGTTGTCATCTTAACCTGGAGAAAATGGAAACTGCTGTAAGAATTCTAATGAAACGGAACAATTTACAATAAATTTCTGGGATAAGATATCGAATATCATTTTTTGTCTGTCACTGCGTGGTCTTCGTTGTCCTTAGAGTGTAGATTCTTTTAATGATTGCTGTGTAACCTGTCAGGATTTTGTTCCCACCCCTATAGGATTTTCTATGTCTACAAGCGTTTCGCGTATCCCTGAAAACAGGTGAATTTTTTACATACATAGGAAGCAAAATAAATTCTACTGAAAAGGATGTGAATATTCGCATTCACTAAATTTGGGATGCATTGAATAAAATGAATGAATGTTGAAATTTAATCTACCAGACAACCTCAAACGGACCATCTTTCGCGTCACTGTAAAAACGGTCTTAATATATGGCGTCACTGTTTGCACATTAACTAAAACCCTTGAATCTAAGCTTGATGGAATCTATACTTGGATGCTGAGAGCTATATTTGACATCACTTAGATTCCAATTACCATAATATCTGCTTGCTCGTTGCGTCATCCAGATTCCTTGTAATTTTGTCCTTGTTGTTGTTTCACCTATGTTAATCATTGTGTGTCTATTACTGCATGGTGTTCATTGGTTTTAGAGTGTAGAATCTTTTAATGATTGCTGTGTAACCTGTCAGGGTCTTCGTACTCTCCCCCATAGGATTGTCCATGTCTACAAGCGTTTTGCGTATCCCTGAAACCAGGTGAATCTTTTACATACATAGGAAGCAAAATAAATTCTACTGAAAAGGATGTGAATATTCGCATTCACCAAAGTTTGGGATGCCTTTAATAAAATGAATGAATGTGGAAATCTGATCTACCAGACAACCTCAAATGGAGATTCTTTGTAGCCACTGTAGAGGCAGTGTTAATATATGATGCCACTGTCTGGACATTAACTAAAACCCGAGAGTCTCAGGCTAATTAATTAAAATCTGTTGAATCTTTTACATACCTAGGAAATGAGGTAAATTCTACTTAAAAGGATGTATAAATTTTCATAGATAAAGTCTGGGCCATTTTGAATAAAATGGATGTAATCTGGAAATCTGATCTACCAGACAACCTCAAAAAAGGCGTCTTTCGCGCCACTGTAAAAACGGTCTTAATGTATGGCGTCGCTGCTTGCACATTATCTAAAACCCAGGAATCTAAGCTTGAAGGAATCTACACTCGGATACTGAGAGCTATACTTGACATCTCTTAGATTCTAATTACCATATTATTAAATATCCGCTCGCTAGCTGTGTCATCCAGATTCCTTGTAATTTTGTCGTTACTATTGTTTTTGTTTCACCTATGTTAATCATTGTGTGTCTATTACTGCATGGTGTTCATTGGTTTTAGAGTGTAGAATCTTTTAATGATTGCTGTGTAACCTGTCAGGGTCTTCGTACTCTCCCCCATAGGATTGTCCATGTCTACAAGCGTTTTGCGTATCCCTGAAACCAGGTGAATCTTTTACATACATAGGAAGCAAAACAAATTCTACTGAAAAGGATGTGAATATTCGCAGTCACCAAAGTTTGGGATGCCTTGAATAAAATGAATGAATATTGAAATCTGATCTACCAGACAACTTCATATGGAGATTCTTTGTAGCCACTGTAGAGGCAGTGTTAATATATGATGCCACTGTCTGGACATTAACTAAAACCCGAGAGTTTCAGGCTAATCAATTAAAATCTGTTGAATCTTTTACATACCTAGGAAATGAGGTAAATTCTACTTAAAAGGATGTATAAATTTGCATAGATAAAGTCTGGGCCATTTTGAATAAAATGGATGTAATCTGGAAATCTAATCTACCAGACAACCTCAAAAGGGACGTCTTTCGCGCCACTGTAAAAACGGTCTTAATGTATGGTGTCACTGTTTGCACATTATCTAAAACCCAGGAATCTAAACTTGAAGGAATCTACATTCGGATACTGAGAGCTATACTTGACATCTCTTAGATTCTAATTACCATATTATTAAATATCCGCTCGCTAGCTGTGTCATCCAGATTCCTTGTAATTTTGTCGTTACTATTGTTTTTGTTTCACCTATGTTAATCATTGTGTGTCTATTACTGCATGGTGTTCATTGGTTTTAGAGTGTAGAATCTTTTAATGATTGCTGTGTAACCTGTCAGGGTCTTTATGCTCCCCCCCCATGGGATTTTCCATGTCTACAAGGAAATGAGGTAAATTCTACTTAAAAGGATGTGTTAATTTACATAGCTAAAGTCTGGGCCGCTTTGAATAAAATGGATTTCATCTGGAAATCTAATCTACCAGACCACCTCAAAGAGTTGTCTTTCGTGCCATTGTAAAGACGGTCATAATGTATGGGGTCACTGCTTCGACATTAACTAAAATCCTTGAATATCATTTATAGACTAATGTTTGTTGTTATCAACATAAAGTTTCGACAGTTATAAAATCCAGTCTTTTCGCTACTGTGCCTATCGTGAGACATTAGAATCAGGCATAGCTGACCATGTATGGATGGAACAGGATGTTCAGCTTACGTCTTTGGATTTTGTCCAAAAGCTCGAGATGAAGATCGGGGGAAGCAGATCATATATTCTGACCCTGATGAGTGTGTGCTGGACTTTCAATTCAGGGATCAGTTTTAGAACAACTGGAGAGAAGGGTGAATCGATTTTTATTTTTTTTTCCATCAGATTAGGTCATTTGCAGTAGTATGCAGTAATAAGAATCTATTTTCGGGTGTATGATGAAATTTGTTTGGCCTTGAAAAATATTGCGTTATCCATGGTTGTATTAGAATTTCATTACACTCAGACACTATTGTTCCGACTGTCGATTAGTTGTCCTACTGCCATTGTCTGCGATGGACGTTACTCCAAGGAAATGTATGAAAACTTGTAACGTTGCACAAACACACTGGCAAGCCCTACCAGTGAGCAAATCAAAGTACTATAGATTGGCCCGGAAACTCTCCTGAATTAAATCCAATTGATAATCTGTGGTTAATCTGTAAGGAAAGACTTCTCGGAAAGGACATACGAAGTATTAAAATGTGCAGTGGGTCATGTTTAATAGAAAAATACGAAAAAAGTAAATAATAACGGAATTATTCGTTTTGTTTCAATTAATTTGCACAAGTGTGTTGTTTGCTGCTGAAGGTTTTAGGGAATATTTATTGAACGTTTTGAATCAAGCCACGCCAGATAGTTCATAGCCACATTTTGGGATATCCTGCTGATCTTAATTAACATAGGCTAACTGCAGATGATGGCGATAACTATATAAAACCCAAATCTGATATCAATTACTGAAAATTCCTTGAAATAAATTTAGATTAATTTATGTTTAAAAATTTAATTAATTGACCAACCAGATTTGATGAATAAAGTCTTCCATAAATTAGTTCTTTAAATTGAAGTGCGACTAAATCTTTCCCCTTATATCAATATTCTTATTCTCCTCGCCAGTGGTGTCCTTCAAAGTGAATTCTGTGTTCGCGTAAGATTGTAAAAATATCGGGGATAGTTCTATTGAGCAGTGATTTAGTTCGATAAGCGAATCGATAAAATATGCCGAATTTTGTACATACTTAAGAAGCGAAATAAATTTATTGAATTTTATGAAAATTTTGTCATCAGCTAAAGCTTATACCTTGAAAAAATTGAATGCAATAGATTTTTTTCTTGATTAAAACCAGAGAACTTAAAAAAAATATTTTTTTTTGCGCCACTGTCAATGAATTCTTGATCTATAGAGTTACTGTTTGGACATTAACTAAAACACTTGAATCTAAACTTGATGGAATCTACACTCAGATGCTGAGAGCTATACTTAACATCTCTGACATTACAATTGTCATTTGGAAGTAAAAAATTTATATCATAAAAGCAGACCAATTTTTTAATTTTGTCATTAGTTCAGTTTTTTTCTATGTTAATCTTCAATAAATGTCTATTACTGCATGGTGTAAGACATTGGTTTTAGAGTGTAGAATCTTTTTTAATGATTTTCAGTGTAACCTGTCAGGGTCTCCAACCCTCTCAATAAGATTTTCCATGTCTACAAGCGTTTTGCAAATCCCTGAAACCAGGTGAATAATTTTTACATACATAGGTGCCAAAACAAATTCTACTGAAAAGGATGTGAATATTTATTGCAGTCACCAAAGTTTGGGATGCCTTGAATAAAATGAATGAATATTGAAATCTGGGGATCTACCAGACAACTTCATATGGAGATTCTTTTAGCCACTGTAGAGGCAAGTGTTAATAATATGATGCCACTGAAGTCGACATTAACTAAAACCTGAAATTTCAGGCTAATCAATTTAAAATCTGTTTGAATCTTTTACATTTAACAAAATGAGGTAAATTCTACAAAAAAGGATGTTAAATTTCATAGATAAATCTGGGCCATTTTGAATAAAATGGATGTAATCTAAAAATCTAATCTAAAGACAACCTAAGAAAAAAAGACGTCTTTTCGCGAAAGAAAAAATCATCTTAATGTATGGTGTCATTTCTTTTAACATTAAAAAACCCAGAATCTAAACTTGAAGGAATCTACCATTCGGATTTTTGCTATATTTGACATCTCTTAGATTCTAAAATTACCATACAAATTATTAAATATCCAGATCGCTAGCTATCGTCATCCAGATTAATTTAATAATTTTGTCGTTACTATTGTTTTTTGTTTGCCACTATGTTAATATTGTGTATATATACTGCATGGTGTTCATTGGTTTTTCAAAAGTATGAATCATATTTTAATGATTTTTTCCATTTGTCATGTAACCTAATCAGGGTTTTTGTGCTATTCCCCCATAGGATTTTATAAATTTAAAAAAAAACGCTGTGTCCTTGAATCCAAATACAGATGTTTATGTTTGGATGTTCCCTGTCCAAGAATAAGACATTTTTTATTTTCGCGTTCGTTGCGTGATCCTGGGCTTGAATTACGATAAGGATAATCAATGTTGAAAATAAACCTATAAAGACAATTCGGATTTTCACACAGAACGCATCTACTTTTGAAATAAACATTGTTTTTTTTTTTTAATGTTTCCTTTTAATTTTTATTGTACTTTTATTTATTTTTTTCCATTTCCTCTGCTTTTTCGGTGACCATTTATTCTTCCTCTTTTTTCTTCTTCAGTCTTCCATCTTTCTTTTCATTCTCTTACTTCTTCCGTTTCTTCTTCTCTGTCTTTTAATTTCTCTTTCTTTCTTTCTTTCTTTCTTCTTTTAAAAAACTTTATTTTTTTCTTTTCTTTTATTCTTTCTTTTTTTCTATGTTTTTTAAATTTGGAACTTTTTCCATCATTAAGGAGAATTTTCTTTCTACAAATTCTTTCCTTTCTTTCTTTTTTCTTAATTCTCCCATTCTTCTTTTTAAATATCTTCATTCTTCTTTTATTTTTTTTTTCTTCTTCTCTCTCTAAAATACTTCATATACCATATTTATATATATATATATATATATATATATATATATATATATATATATATAAATAGTAATCTTCTTCTTATTCTATATATTCTATATATATAGGATTTTCTTCCTTTTTCTTTTGCAAAATTTTCTTCTTCGTGTTCTTTTAGAGACTCTTCTTTATCTTTTCTTCTTATAAAATCTTTCCTATTTTTTCGGATCTCAGACTTCTTCCTTTATTTAATCTTTCTGGAATTTCTTTCTTTCATCTTTCTTCATTTTTTCTTAATTTCTTCTTTTCTTTGTTTCTTCAAATTTTTATTTTTTCTTCCTTTTCTTCTATGACACTTTTTTCTTGAGAGTTTTTGTATCTTCATTCTTATTCCGTTTTCTTTTTCAATTTTTCAAAACTTAATCTAATTATTTTCGATCCTTATTTTCATTCTGTCCTTTTTCTTTCTCTCCATCGTCTATTTTTATTTCTTATCTCTCCTTTTTTCTTTCTTTCTTTCTTTCTTTATTTATATATATTTATATTTATTATTTCTTCCATATATTTTTATAAAAAAAATTTAACCTATTTTTTTATTTTTTTATGCTTCTTTTTTTTTTTTCACTCTTGATTCTTCTTGATTAGAAAGTAAACCATATATTTTTCTTATAAATTGATTTTTGCAAATCCTTTTGGTTTTCTTCTTCGTGTTCTTTTCTGGGACAATGCCCTTTTTCAATGAAATCTGTTAATTTTTTATTTCATCTTTTCATTCATCGATATTATATATCGTCTGTATTTATATATATATCTTTCTTTATTTTTTTTCTTCTTCTTGTGTCTTCCATTATTCTTCTTTCTTCTTCTAGTCTTTTTGTTTCTTCTTCTCAACTATTCCTTCTTTCTTTTCATTCTATTTCTTCTTCTTCTTCTTCTTCTTCTTCTTTTTCTCGTCTGTCTTTTCATTTTTCTTATATTAGCACATTTCAAATTTTCTTTTCTTCTTGTTTTCCTTCCTTCTTTTTTTTCTCTTTCTGCTTCTTTTTTTTTTTTTCAAACTTTCTTTTTTATCTTTCAAATGATTTTCATTCTTTATTTTAAATGTTGCCGCCATTTAAAATTTTTCATATTTATTTTTTTTCTTTTTTTAAAAGCTTTTTCTTAATTTTTTCACGGAATTCTTTCATTTTTAATTCGCTCTTCTAAATCTAAATCTCTTTTCATATTTATTTTTGTCTTCTTTTTTTCTGATTTCTTTTTTTTTCATTTCCTTTTTCTTGAACTTCGTTGGTTTTTTTTTATTTTCTTTAAAAAAAAAAATTTTTTTTTTCCTCAATTTTTATTCTCCCTCTTCTTTGTCTCATTTATATTTTTTTCTTTTTTAAAGTTGTTGATTAAACAACCAGAGAAGTTTTTTGATTTGAAAAAAATTGATTTCTTCTCTTCCATCTTATATGATTAATCTTGGGATATAACAACGGACTTATTCTTCTGACGAAAAAAAATCTTAAATTCTTCATCAATATAATAACTTCTAATCTCCGCCTCTAGAAGAAAAAATTTTCACCAGACATAAGACCGGAAATGGTGGCTGTTAAGATTTAAATAAAAAATCTAAATTGAAATAAATTTTAATTTTTTTTAAGAAGTTTCTAATCATCAAAATAAATAAAAATCTGTAATAAAATGGGTTGCAAAAATTAAAGAAAGAAACGACCATTTTGAGACTTGGATTAAAAGTAAAATCCGTAAATAAATCTAATATACTAATTAATTAAAAATTAATCACAAAGGAAATTGATTGTGAATGGATTTTTTCTGATGAAAACATTTTCATTTGATTCCAGTAAGAAGAATCTTTGGGTATAAAAAATTAATCCAAATCAGCTCTTTGTTTTTGCAATTTTAGTTTCTGGTAAATAAACCGCAATTTTGATGATTATTTAACGCAATAATCGGACTTGAAATAAAAAAAAAATTAAAAATTTTTTTTCTGTTTTGTACCCATCAAAGACAATAAGGATCAGTAATAAATTGGGTATGTAAAGATTAAATATAAATCCGCCATTTTGAGCCTTGGATTACTAAAAAGCGTAAAATCGCATAATTAAAATCGGATTTAACTTTTTTTCAATAATAAAAAAAAGAAAAATCTAGTAAATTTATTGAAACAAAACAAGTTCAGTTTTTATTTGATGACAATTCCAGAACAACGTAAAATAAATTTTTTTTTTCTAACCTCTGCCAGCCGCAATGATGGAGAAAGCATTACCTCGAACCATGGCCAGTGAGACACGCTGCAAGAGCCACTCCGTTTCGCGAGGCTCGTCCCTTAATCGAGACGCAATCGCGCCAATCCTCCGAAGGAACGCCATCGAACGAGGGCCAATAACCCCTGAAGTCTCCACTGCCACAGGAGTAAAAAAAAAAAATCTATCAGCAAGAGAAGAATATTTAACTATTTTTTTTTCATCTCTGCGTCCCGGGCGACGGATCCTGGCTCAACCGCGGACCTGATCAAATTACCGGCCGAAAATGTATCCGCACAGGTCGCATCCCAAATCAACGACTTCCCCATTTTAAAAGGGAAAATGGTAATGCCATCCGGCCGCTTTCCATCACCACGGTCGAGGCCTACGGGTTCGATTTGGGAAGGGAACCCAGCTGCATCCAAACCTCTTTTGATGATGTCGTTTATTGCTGCATGCCGTGGAAAGCGGCCGGCACTACGACGACAGGAGAGAGGATGCAAACCAAACTCATCGATGGAAGCACCACATCTGCATCTGTGACGCTCACATAATTTGAGTCCAAGACGGATCGCGACTCTGACCCGAGTGCACTTATCATCTAGAAGGGTACTGGTAGATGAAGAGGGCACTGCGTTGAACCAGGCGCCACTACTCGGCTGTGAAGCAGATAGTAAACAGGCGAGGCTATGCTGATCCAGACAGAGCCTCAAATTAGTAAAATTGGCCTCGCATTTTATTTTATCCCAGTTTTTTTGTTTTGATGTGTTTAGTGGGATAGAAAGTAATTCTTGGGTCCAGACGGTGCAAGCTTGTTCGAAAGAACTACCCGAGAAACACTGAGGCGATCCACCGAGTATCTCATTAATTAATTTGTGATTGGACGAAAGTGAAGAAAGATATGCTGGAAGTGCCAAATCTACCGCTGATCAAAGGCCCAGGCCTCCGAAACTCAAAGGGAGCTTTGCCTGCCTCCAGCCTGTGTCGTCGAAATTGACGTTGCAAATTAGCTCCGCGCATCTCTTAACTAATTAATGATACATGAAATCGATTGTAATTGGCTTTTTTTTTTCTGTTTCTACGCATCAAACTACATAAGAACCAGTAATAAAATGTGTATGTAAACATTAAATCCAAATCCGTTATTTTGAAGATTGGAGGGCAAAGACGCCATCAAACAAAACCTTTCGCATAATATCTGCTTTTTATTCCCTATTTTCACAGTGTAGGAATTTCAGTTGGATAACATAGACCCTAACACCCCAATAGTAAATATCATGATGAAGTTGTAATAAAATGTAAGCAAAAAGCGCAATTATCCTTGAAATTTCTAGGGCACATTAGAAGGCTTGGCGAATTGGACACCACCAAGGTTGAAGACAAGAGCGAAACAGGGACCTGTCGAACGAAGTTGTGTAAATGGATTACAGAAGTGCTGAATAGTGGAAAGACAAAGCTTACTTAGAGGTACAAAGGATAGGAAATGTGGAGAGCCGTGATCGCCTAAGCCAGAAGGCAGCAAGACAAAAGAAAAGAAGCATAATGTTTATTAGTGCTACTGGAGATAGAGACAAGGAAAAAGAGAGACAGACAGACGGAGGTTGGAGAGAACCAAGAGAGATAATATATATATATATATATATATATATATATATATATATATATATATAGAGAGAGAGAGAGAGAGAGAGAGAGAAGATAGAAAGATGAGATAGACATTTCTAATAGATGGAGATAGATAGATAGATAGATAGATAGATAGATAGATAGATAGATATGAACAAAATGAGTTAGAATAGATAGATAGATAGATAGATAGATAGATAGATAGATAAATAGACTGATCTAAATAGATGAGATAGATAGATAGATAGATAGATAGATAGATAGATAATGAACGGATTGAGATAGATACATAGATAGATTTTTGAACGGATTGACATAGATAGATAGATAGATAGATAGATATAAACAGAATATATATATATATATATATATATATATATATATATATATAATAATACATGTGTGTGTGTGTGTGTGTGTGTGTGTGTGTGTGTTGTTTGTGTGTATGTATATGTAATCAGAGATAGATAGATGATAAATAACGTATCGGGAATTAATCATTTATAGATATTTTTATCGCCTTTATAGTAAATCTATCCTTAACCAATCAGATGTAATTAAGGAAAAATCATGGGAATTAATTAACGTCTCTAATTTATATAAGCTGTATCCATAATTAGTGATAATGAAGAGGAGGCCTTAATTAACGTTAATAAAATCACTCGTGAGCGCACACATTTTCACATCTGAGAAGCCATATTCAAAAGAAGCCATCTTGATTTTTTTCTACAGATTCCTAAACTCTTTTCCTGTATTTGTTTTTAGAATATTTGAAAACTTATTGTTTTTTTTTTTCTTCATTGTTATTATCAGACTTTCATCTGCCAGACTTTGGAAAATGTTTTTCATCGTATAATTAACGGGGACACTAATAAATAGATATAGCGTTCCAAGTTTACTTATCATCGGGGGAGAAGTTCAACGCACTCTGTAAGGATTGAGTTTAATACTTGATATCACTGAGAGGTTTTCTTTATCAATGGATTAAGAAAAGAAATTCACGATACATCGATTGCAAGTTTTTCTTTTATTCTTGTACACGTATTTATGTTTTCTTCGAGCCATTTTGATCTGTTTTTCTTTCACTTTCTGTGGTTTCATTTCTTTATGTTCGTCCACATATTTTTATTCCTTTCCTTGATTGTCATACGAGTGGCCATTATGAAAATCGCGTAGCATTTTGCGTATAACAAAATGTCTTCTCAGCCCTACAGAACTTTCCGCAGTATTCTTTATTATTATTATTGCATTAAGTTTTTTTGTGGCGGGGGGGGGGTTACCAATAATATTTGGTGGCTTGTAATGGAGATACAGGGACGATACTCCAGCATCCAAATTATTATTATTTTTTTTATTTCCTTTGATATCTGGCGTTTACACATTTCTTTCAGGGTGCCGCCCAGGGACCTAAGGTAAAAAATAACATCATGACACTTTCCACTGACAAAAGAATTGATGTAATGAATATGCATACGCCTGGGTTCCCCCTCACAGTAATATGATTGGCTGGTGTCAGACATAAATACAGACAGATGTGGAGGTACATGGATGTCACCTACTGTCTTCGCCTATTGCCTATCACTACGACGAGGACCAGTCCATTACGGTTACCTGTTAGATTGTTCTAGTCGATTACAGTAGTCAACAAACACTTTGCTACTTCGAACAAATATATCCCTTTCCAGGACATATAAAAATAAAAAAAAATATAAAAATATATATATATATTTTACATAGATAAAGCCCTTCGTAAAGTGTAGGCTGTACTTGTCAGAATAATTTTTCGTATCTCTTTGAGGCATGGACTTCCAGGAATCCCTTCAATTAGTCTACTGGAATCTTTTCCAACCAATGCTAGGGTTCCAACTACAACAGGGATTGTTGATGTTCTTGTGTGCCACATTATCCGGACTATTGTCCTCATCTTTGTCGCCATATTTATTACAACGTGTCGGCCCTTCCCTATCTGTTTATATTTCTGAGATGAGGTATTATGTACACTATTTACATTATTCGGACGATTGTCCTCATCTTTGTTGCCATATTTATCACAACGTTTCGGCCCTTCAGTATCTGTCTATATTTCTGAGATGAGATATTATGTACATTATTTACATTATTCGGACTATTGTCCTCATCTTTGTCGCCATATTTATTACAACGTTTCGGCCCTTCAGTATCTGTCTATATTTCTGAGATGAGGTATTATGTACACTATTTACATTATTCAGACTATTGTCCTCATCTTTATCGCCATATTTATTACAACGTTTCGGCCCTTCAGTATCTGTCTATATTTTTGAGATGAGGTATTATGTACACTATTTACATTATTCGGACTATTGACCTCATCTTTGTCGCCATATTTATTACAACGTTCCGGCCCTTCAGTATCTGTCTATATTTCTGAGATGAGATATTATGTACATTATTTACATTATTCGGACTATTGTCCTCATCTTTGTCGCCATATTTATTACAACGTTTCGGCCCTTCAGTATCTGTCTATATTTCTGAGATGAGGTATTATGTACACTATTTACATTATTCAGACTATTGTCCTCATCTTTATCGCCATATTTATTACAACGTTTCGGCCCTTCAGTATCTGTCTATATTTCTGAGATGAGGTATTATATACACTAACGAACATTATTCGGACTATTGTCCTCATCTTTGTCGCCATATTTATTACAACGAACGGCCCTTCAAATATCTAAGATATTTCTGAGATGAGATATTATGTACATTATTTACATTATTCGGATATTGTCCTAGATAAGATAAATAATGAACCTACAGAATCTGTAACAAATTTCTGAGAAATATAAAAATATTTACATTAAAGGATTGATGAATCTTTGTCGACGTAAAATATTAACGAACAGCCTGAGATAGACCTTCAATATCTAGATATATAGATGAGATGATAAAAAACAGACTATTTAAATTATGTAAAAAAAAATGAAGATAGATGAAAAATAGATTGTTATATGAACAGAGATATAGCTAACGAAAAAATCTTTGAATAGATAGCGATGAAATTACGGGCAGAATGGCGGTGGTTTGCTGCAATGTGTGTGTCATGGTGGGTCCTGGTCGTGAAGGTTTGGGACTGAGGAATCTATTTCATCTGGCCACTCTCCATGGAAAGTCTAGGTACCAAAGAGGAAAGTTTACCCAAACAATTCCCATGAAAGTATTAATAGAAAAATCTGAATTTAGCTACGATACGGCGGTCGGAAATTGCCTGAAGCTGATTATGATTGAAGGTATTCTTATTTTCTGTAGCCTGATTTTCGTTGTATATATGTCTTGTTTAACATCCGGGTTTCGTGGATGACCCATGTGTTCATTTGAGTAAGAATTCATTGATTAAACATCTTACCTCACAGGGTTTCCTTTCAGGCCAATAAGACAGCTTTCTCGTCTCTAGGTCAACCGATATGCTGATGTCTATAGCTGAAAGGGTCTCTTATAGTTTAAATAAGAATGGCAAAGCTGAGACTTGCGCATTAGATACACAAATAGCGTTAGTGATATAGATATTTTTAATAGTTAGTTTGGTCTTTTTTATCATTATATTATAATGTGTGACGTTTGGAACGGCAGCTCCTCTAGATCTTCTTGCATTAAAATTGACATGCAGCATATCTCTATTTTCGACACACGATGTTGCTTATGTTAATCAATGTTCTTCCTGGTATTTATGCTAATGTCAGAACTATTCACTCCCGCCTGAATATGTTCGATAAATTCCAGTTGATAGCTGACGTCGAAAATGCCTTTCATTCTGTTACGAACTCGAGCAAGAATGATCATAGATAGATAGATAGATAATGAACAGACTGAAATATATATATATATATATATATATATATATATATATATATATATATATATATATATATATATATATATGCTAAGAACAGACAGGCAGATAATGAACAGACTGAGAAAGATTTATAGATATATTGATAATGAACAGACTGAGAGATAGATAGATAGATAATGAACAGACTGGAATATATATATATATATATATATATATATATAGATAGATAGATAGATAGATGATAGATAGATAGATAGATAGATGATGATGAACAGTCTGAGAAAGATTTATAGATATATTGATAATGAACAGACTGAGATAGATAGATAGATAGATAATGAACAGACTGGGATATATATATATATATATATATATATATATATATATAGATAGATAGATAGATAGATAGATAGATAGATAGATAGATAGATAGATAGATAGATGATGAACAGTCTGAGAAAGATTTATAGATATATTGATAATGAACAGACTGATAGATAGATAGATAGATAGATAATGAACAGACTGATATATATATATATATATATATATATATATATAGATAGATAGATAGATAGATAGATAGATAGATAGATAGATGATGAACAGTCTGAGAAAGATTTATAGATATATTGATAATGAACAGACTGATAGATAGATAGATAATGAACAGTCTGAGAATACACATATATATGTAGAGATAGATAGATAGATAGATAGATATGAACAGACTGAGATAGATAGATAGATAGATAGATAGATAGATAGATAGATAGATAGATAGATAGATAATGAACAGATTGAGAAATATTTATAGATATATTGATCATGAAAAGACTGATATAAATAGATAAATAGATTGATAAAGAATGAACAATCTGAGTATATATATATATATATATATACATATATAAAGGGAGAGAGAGAGAGATAGAGAGAGATAGATAGATAGATAGATAGATAGATAGATAGATAGATAGATATTAAACGACTGAGATATGAAGAGGTTGAGATAGATAGATAGATAGATAGATAGATAGATAGATAGATAGATAGATAGATAATATCAAAGAAAGTAACGCTAATTTAAAAAGTAAACACCACTCATATCTCTGTAATCGCCCAATTAACACAAAACAAGCCGTCGATTCCCACCGCGGCTAAAAATTCCTCAAATAATTCTGATTTCTTTCTTTTCCCCAGACGATGTCGTTTCAGGAATGTGCAGATTTAAAAAATCCAGCCTAGACGCCACAAAAGATTTAGGTCTGCTTTTTTGCAGACCTCTTCAAAGGATTTTTTTTTAATGTTTGCATGATGTGGAAAATAGATTCGTGTCCGCCTTTGATGTTTTTCCAAGAAGAATAGGCGAAGGTAGACGGCCGTGAAGAAGAAATACGAAGCAAATATGAGGGAAGTCAAATGGGAAGTTTGGAGATGACGAAAACAGTGATCGATATGAAGTCAGTCGGAATTACAGGAAAGACTGCGATAGACAGAGAGATGACATAGATAGATAGATATAAACAATGGCAGATAGATAAATAGACAGACAGTTAACAGATAGATAATGAACAAACAAACATATATAGATATATTGATACTGAACAGACTGCGATAGATAGATAGATAGATAGACAGACAGACAGACAGTTGACAGTCCGAGATAGATAGATAGATAGATAGATAGTAATGTATGAGCAAAGTCACATAGATAGATAGATAGATAGATAGAGATAGATAGATAGATATAGACTGATAGATAGATAATGAAAAGATAGATAGACAGATAGATAGATAGAGAGAGAGAGAGATAGTTAACAGACTGAGATAGATAGATAGATAGATAGATAGATAGATAGATAGATAGTTGACAGTCCGAGATAGATAGATAGATAGATGGTTAACAGACTGACATAGATAGATAGATAGATAGATAGATAGATAGATGACAGTCCGAGATAGATAGATAGATAGATAGATAGATAGATAGATAGATAGATAGATATGAAGGGATTGAGATAGATAGATAGATAGATAGATAGATAGATAGATAGATAGATAGATAGATAGATACGGTGTGCGAAAGAAAAACAATAATAGAATGAAATTGTAATATGAGTTCTGGTAAAAAAAACTATTATATATTCGGTATATAGGTACATATTATGTATATAGGTCACACGGTACTTGTACACTGATGCACTGATGTACTAAAAGCGTTGGTTGCCATAACCCAAACGCTTGTGAGTTCAATACGAACAACAGTAGAAATGAATGCAAACTTGTTGAGTTAGAGATAATTGTTACTGCGACATCGGGAAGAGGCAATCTATAACGGGAAATAAGGGTTATGGTCGAAATTCCAACTGACGGTGTTAATCTTTAATTACAATATGCACCACATAGAAAATATGATATTTAAACAGGTCACTAAACCCCAAATATCTGTCCGCTATGTAGACGAGAATTTTGTTACTGCGAAAAACTCTTTTGAAAAATCTCTGTCCTTAAGTTCACCTAAGTAAAAGATATTAACTCCCATTTCTGAGACGTTTCCGTAGAATACAGTAACAGCACTTTCCCCCTAAACAGAAAAACTTGCCACCTTAATTTTAAAAGCGAATATCGACTTAGGTACAAAATAGCGGTGATAAAAGAATTTCCTCGCGAGAGCACTCGAGAATTCATCCTCTCGTCTACTTCTCCTTAAAGAACTCAACAGTGCAAAACAGACGCTAGTTAACAATGGTTTTCCTAACTACCTCATCGACTACTAAATTAGACTATTTCTTTCCAAAGTAACTAATAACAATACTGGACACAGACAAAAGCGATAACATTAAAATCTTCTACAAAAACCAAATACACGTCAGTTATAAGCAAGATGAATCTTCATTTAAGAAATATCATAAATAATATAGTATCCCAGTCGACCTGAACAAGAAAATTAAATAAATCATCTATTACAAAAAATTTTAAAACCTCACCTTCATCAGAGGTAGATAAATAGAGAGCGAGAAAGAAAAAGAGAAACATATGTATCGATTCTCCCGTCGGGTTCGACGTATGAGGGTCAAGCAGATCAGTTCCCAGGAAACCGACAGCCCCACACCAGCACATGAGATTTGATTATAGTGCTGAAGGCTTCGTGCAGGACAATCCACACTTTTTGAAGGGACGGATACAGAAACCTGGTGCACTAAGTGCCACAAGGTCCCCAAACGACCCTCCGCAGGTTTGTAATTCCGAGTTGTCCTTCTCCTAGACCAGTTGCCATCCAAGGCTATAGAACCCAGTCTGTCCTACTATTTACCCATAGCTGTAGGGAGAAGAAGAGGATTCATACCTTTCCCAAGGGTATTAGCACGTAAGTGAATGTAATGGATTCAACCTGGATTCGAACTCTGTTCTGCGATTCTACAATCCAAGCCGATATCCATTACCCAATATACCTATGTATATATATATATATATATATATATATATATATATATATATATATATATATATATATATATATATATATATATATATATATATATATATATATATATATATATATATATATATATATATATATATATATAATGAACAGACAGATTGATAGGGGAGAGAGAGAGATACAAATAGATAGAGATAATGAACAGAGGTAGACAGAGATAGATAGATTGAGAGATATAATCTGTTGATTTACCTTAATACTCTATATATTGAAAGCCATCACAAAAATAAGTTTTCTTCTTTTTCTATATGCCTTGTCCCTTCAGGACGTAGGCCTTCATATATATATATCTGCATAAATTCCTAGCATTTGTAGCTCTCAGTATAGAGTTTGTCCTTTTATTTTCTCTCCTAAAACTTCCGCCGCTATCCATTTACGCAATCTCTCAAAGTGGATTAGACGTCTTTTTCCTTCGCCCCACTCACCTAAAATCTATACTGGGAGTATCACATTTTCCAAGCCTTCTTTCCTCATTATGTGCACTTGAAATTTCAACGGTCTATTTATGATATCGAGGTTTGTGTTCCGGTTTCATCTCGCTGCTCGCAAGTTCGCGCTAATATACAGTTGCCTCAAACCTCTTCATCTTTGAGCAAATTGTCCAGCATTCACATTCATATAGCAGAAAAGATATTACGTAACAATTCAGTACTCTTTTCTTTGTTTCGGTTGCTACAAGTCTCTTCTTCATCATTGTGCAGTATTCACTGCCATATAGGAGGACGGATATTACGTAACAGTTCAGTACTCTTTTCTTTCTTTCTGTTGTTTCAAGTCTCTTCTTCATCTGTGAGGAGATTGTCCAGCATTCACTGCCATATAGAAGGACTGATATTACGTAACAGTTCAGTACTCTTTTCTTTGTTTCTCTTGCTTCAAGTCTCTTCTTCATCTGTGAGGAGATTTTCCAGCATTCACTGCCATATAGAAGGACTGATATTAAGTAACAGTTCAGTATTCTTTTCTTTGTTTCTATTGTTTCAAGTCTCTTCTTCATCTGTGTGGAGATTGTCCATCATTCACTGCCATATAGGAGGACTGATATTACGTAACACTTCAGTACTCTTTTCTTTGTTTCTATTGTTTCAAGTCTCTTGTTAATCTGCGAGGAGATTGTCCAGCATTCACTGCCATATAGGAGAACTGATATTACGTAACAGTTCAGAACTCTTTTCTTTGTTTCTGTTGTTTCAAGTCTCTTCTTCATCTGTGAGGAGATTGTCCAGCATTCACTGCCATATAGGAGGACTGATATTAAGTAACAGTTCAGTATTCTTTTCTTTGTTTCTATTGTTTCAAGTCTCTTCTTCATCTGTGTGGAGATTGTCCATCATTCACTGCCATATAGGAGGACTGATATTACGTAACAGTTCAGTACTCTTTTCTTTGTTTCTGTTGTTTCAAGTCTCTTGTTAATCTGCGAGGAGATTGTCCAGCATTCACTGCCATATAGGAGGACTGATATTACGTAACAGTTCAGAACTCTTTTCTTTGTTTCTGTTGTTTCAAATCTCTTCTTCATCTGTGAGGAGATTGTCCAGCATTCACTGCCATATAGGAGGACTGATAGTACGTAACAGTTCAGTACTCTTTTCTTTGTTTCTATTGTTTCAAGTCTCTTCTTCATCTGTGAGGAGATTGTCCAGCATTCACTGCCATATAGGAGGACTGATATTACGTAACAGTTCAGTACTCTTTTCTTTGTTTCTATTGTTTCAAGTCTCTTCTTCATCTGTGAGGAGATTGTCCATCATTCACTGCCATATAGGAGGACTGATATTACGTAACAGTTCAGTACTCTTTTCTTTGTTTCTATTGTTTCAAGTCTCTTCTTCATCTGTGAGGAGATTGTCCAGCATTCACTGCCATATAGGAGGACTGATATTACGTAACAGTTCAGTATTCTTTTCTTTGTTTCTATTGTTTCAAGTCTCTTGTTAATCTGCGAGGAGATTGTCCAGCATTCACTGCCATATAGGAGGACTGATATTACGTAACAGTTCAGAACTCTTTTCTTTGTTTCTATTGTTTCAAGTCTCTTCTTCATCTGTGAGGAGATTGTCCAGCATTCACTGCCATATAGGAGGACTGATATTACGTAACAGTTCAGTACTCTTTTCTTTGTTTCTATTGTTTCAAGTCTCTTCTTCATCTGTTAGGAGATTGTCCAGCATTCACTGCCATATAGAAGGACTGATATTACGTAACAGTTCAGTACTCTTTTCTTTGTTTCTATTGTTTCAAGTCTCTTCTTCATCTGTGAGGAGATTGTCCAGCATTCACTGCCATATAGGAGGACTGATATTACGTAACAGTTCAGTACTCTTTTCTTTTTTTCTATTGTTTCAAGTCTCTTCTTCATCTGTGAGGAGATTGTCCAGCATTCACTGCCATATAGGAGGACTGATATTACGTAACAGTTCAGTACTCTTTTCTTTGTTTCTATTGTTTCAAGTCTCTTCTTCATCTGTGAGGAGATTGTCCAGCATTCACTGCCATATAGAAGGACTGATATTACGTAACAGTTCAGTACTCTTTTCTTTGTTTCTATTGTTTCAAGTCTCTTCTTCATCTGTGAGGAGATTGTCCAGCATTCACTGCCATATAGAAGGACTGATATTACGTAACAGTTCAGTACTTTTTCTTTGTTTCTATTGTTTCAAGTCTCTTCTTCATCTGTGAGGAGATTGTCAGCATTCACTGCCATATAGAAGGACTGATATATGTAACAGTTCAGTACTCTTTTCTTTTGTTTCTATTGTTTCAAGTCTTCTTCATCTGATGAGGAGATTGTCCAGCATTCACTGCCATATAGAAGGACTGATATTACGTTTTGTCAGTACTCTTTTCTTTGTTCCTATTGTTTCTCTTCTTCATCTTGAGGAGATTGTCCAGCATTCACTGCCATATAGAAGGACTGATATTACGTAACAGTTCAGAACTTTTTTCTTTGTTTTTGTTGTTTCAAGTCTCTTCATATCTGAGGAGATTGTCCAGCATTCACTGCCATATAGGAGGACTGATATTACGTAACAGTTCAATTTTCCTTTTTTTGTTTCTATTGTTAAAAGTCTCTTCTTCATCTGTGAGGAGATTGTCCAGCATTCACTGCCATATTAATAGACTGATATTAATTGTAACAGTTCAGAACTCTTTTTCTTTGTTTCTGTTGTTTCAAGTCTCTTCTTCATATGTGAGGAGATTTGCAGCAACTGCCATATAGGAGGACTGATTTGTACAGTTCAGTTTTCTTTTCTTTGTTTTATTGTTTCAAGTCTCTTCTTCATCTGTGAGGAGATTGTCCAGCAATTTTCATATAGGAGGATTGATAAAACGTAACCACTCTTTTCTTTGTTTTCCGATTTTTCTTTTCATTTCCATTATGTTCTGCTTTTGTACTGTTTCGTTGTTGAATCAATAGTGCATATCTTTGAAAATTGTCAATCAATTCGACCTGTGTGAAATCCCTGTTCATATATATATTTTTATCAGTTTTCTGGTTTTTGCCTCTCCACTTTTTATTTGAATATAGAACTCATTCTTTTGGTAACAAGTATGCATTCTGTCTTCGTACAATTTTATGCTTAGTCCATTCTTCTCGCTTTCCTTCATTACCTTCTGTAAGAGTTCTTTCTGTGCCCGCAATAAGCGCTGTCTGTTCTGCATATCTTAATTATCATTGAGGCAGCCATTAACGAATCTCTGTCTGTAGGTTGAATAGGTCCGGTGAGAAGACCTATCCTAGTCTTGCACTCTTTTCTTTTTTTGTATATTTACTGAATATATTATCTTTCTCAACGTACACAGTTTGCTGCCAGAACTGTACTGCAATGTTCTAATATCCTTCCAAAATATGTCATGGTTACTAAGCAGTAAAACAGTTCTTCGTTATACACTTTAGCTTGATCTTTTAGAATAATTATTTTAAAAATATGCCCGAAAAATCCCTGTCCTCCCATTCTTTTAATATCAACTACGTTAATATAAACGTCCTTTTCGTAGAGGAGATATCATTTGAACAATTCACGTTCAGACTTATGAAAATAATGGAGTACGATTTCGTGAAGGAATGGTTGGGCGCCAACGAGACCCACTCCGAGCAATCAAGCACATGCCTCGGCATTGTAACAATCGAACAAGGTCTGTTTATTCATACAATGAGGAATTTGAAAGTGTCAAGGCTGGACGAATACAAAAACAAGAACGAAAGAAAGAAAGAAAGAATAGATATTGGTATTTCCAAATAGGTTATCTCATGGATTGAAAATATATATATATATAGAGAGAGAGAGATAGATAGATAGATAGATAGATAGATAGATAGATAGATAGATAGATAGATTCACAGACATATAGATTCACAGACAGATAGTTAACAGACTGACATAGATAGATAGATAGATAGATAGATAGATAGATAGATAATGAACAGACTGAGATAGATAGATAGATAGATAGATAGATAGATAGATAGATAATGAACAGACTGAGATAGATAGATAGATAGATAGATAGATAGATAGATAGATAGATAGTGTTATGGGATCTTACCCATAATAATAATAATGGACTATTCCATACTTAAAAATACTGCGCCTTAGGAGTAGGCAAGGAGTCAGTAGTTCAAGTGAGCCAGTAGTTCAAGGAGTCAGTAGTTCAAGTCGAGTCAGAGGCAGTCCGAAACAGAGTCGCGTTCAGACAATTACTGCAAGACATTGATATAGTGATACTGGTCGAGACTACATTGTTCTCTCTACTAAACCTGATTGTTCATACTAACACTTCTACTTCTCTGTATATATTCCTGTTTGTAATATATCTGTGTTATTCCATATCCGTGTTCGAGTTCTTCTTTATTGGTTCTACTTTGGACTATCACTGTGGTACAAGGAAACGGACCATAACAGATAGATAGATAGATAGATAGATAGATAGATAGATAGATAGATATGAAATGACCGAAATGGATAGATAGATATATATATGAATAGACCGTGACATACATAGATAGATAGATAGATAGATAGAATTAAAGAAAGAACAGGTATATCATAGCTAACAATGCTTCGTGCAATAAAAAATGAAGATAAAAAATACTAGTCAAAAATCTATAATAATTGTGGACAAGGCTTCATCTAATAAAATTTTTTATCGTTTTCCAGTCAAAGGTTTTACTTCCAAACAAATTGTTTTGTCGGTGTAACTACATATGTCCTTATCTATGTTCAATTTCGTTATCTCCTATACTAAATTTGTTATAACTGATCCATACACCATTGTATATGAAGTGTTTGTTAAACACCTGCAGAATTTTAAAAGATCAAGGCTCACCAAATTCAGAAACATGGACAAATGAATGAAGAGTGTTGTGTTAGCCACAATAAATAACGCAAACCGATAAGAGCAGTTGTAAATATCAGCAAACGGCAGCTGCTTTAATCTAGGAAATCAATTCTAAATGAGGCACTATCCATACTGATATAATAGGCCCAGTTGAAGACGTTGTGTTGATGGTGCTTAAGGCCTAAGTAGATTAACTACAATTAAAAATAAGGAAAACACTAGAGAAAATTCAGGCCACCTAAATCGAACATGTCGAGGGAAGTAAAAAGCTATCAATACCTACAGAATGACAAGAGTATCACCATACAGCCGACAGACAAAGATAACGATGGCGTTGTGGTGAACAAGTTGAGACACTGCGGGAAAATGTCTACTTTAGATTGGGTTGTTAACAACTGCGAGATGAAAAAAAAATCTAAACGTAAAAACTGAGTGGAGCTCTCAAATATATTATATATATATTTAAAAAAATGGAGAATTTCCCATTGAATAATTATAAACAACTGAATCGATGTTAAATGAAATAAATACTAGTAAAAAATTACTAATAATGGCTGACAATGTTTCATCTAATAAAAATGAAGACGAAAGTATATCTTAGTCAAAAATTAATAATAATGACTGACAATGCTTCATCTAATAAAAAATGAAGATGAAATTAAATCCTAATCAAAAATTTATAATAAGGACTGAAAATGCTCCATTTAATAAAAAAGAAATTAAATCCTAGTCAAAAATTAATAATAATGGCTGAAAATGCTCCATTTAATAAAAAAGAAAGTAAATCCTTGTCAAAAATTAATAATAATGGCTGAAAATACTCCATTTAATAAAAAAAGAAATTAAATCCTAGTCAAAAATTAATAATAATGGCTGAAAATGCTCCATTTAATAAAAAAGAAAGTAAATCCTAGTCAAAAAGTAATGATAATGGCTGAAAATGCTCCATTTAATAAAAAATGAAGATGAAAGTAAATTCTAGTCAAAAAGTAATAATAATGGCTGACAATGCTTCATTTAATACAAAATATCTCTGAAAGTAAATGCTACTAAAAATAATGATAGTTATTAGCAAGTAATTACAGGCCAATAATAAAAAATGAAAGTAAATACAAATCAAAAATTGATGTAAATAAAGCGCAGTGTACGTGTGTCCGTCCATTTCTGATCTTCGCAAATCATAAACAACATAAAGTAACAGGTAGTAACTACTGTAGTTACAGGGGATTAAAAATTAAACTCATTTAAAGTTAAATGTGAAAGGTTTAAAAAAAACAATTCTTTATTAATGGATTTAAATTTAATTTCGATTTTCGTCGCAATTGCAATTGATATCGTCTAATTAAGCCGTAATTAAAACTGAAGCCGGGCACGGTACGTTGCTCAAATTTTTTTTTACAGTGACGTATTCGAAATATTACATATTTCGGATTCCCTAATGTCTTTTAAGAGTGACTTTATTTGAAGGGACCACAGAGAATGCTCATTTTAAAAAGAAAATAAAAATTGGACTCAAAATAAACATAAACAAACTACGGGGATTGGTTGTGTATACGAAGAAAGATTATGTCGAATTAAGGTGTCGAATAATGATAAAATAATTCTATTTTAAATTGTTTAAATTTTACGTACATAGGACGTTGAAGGTAAAAGACCGTAGACCCAAAATTCCTCCGCATTGGCTAACTTAAAGTCCCCCTGAAAGACGGCTTAGAGGCTAAATAATAATTTTTTAACAATGGCTGTTAATAAAAATAAGGGTTGAAAATGCTTCATAAAATAAAAAATGAAAATGAAAGTCAATACTAGTCAAAAATAAATAATAATGGTTGACAAGGTTTCATCAAATAAAAATGTTGATGAAAGTGAATACCAGTCAAAAATTAATAATCATGGCTCTCCACATCTTCCTGTCTGTTGTAGCTCTTAATAAGTTTTGCCTTTTTGTTATTTCTACAAAACTCTGTTCTGACATCAATTTCCTCACGTCATATATGTTACGCGCTGCTTTTCTAGGTTCCTTTTCCCTCAATCTGTCCTTTGAGTATCAGATTTTCCAAGCCTTCCTTCCTCATTACATGCCCAATAATGGATGTCAGTTATCAGTTATCTCCTGTTCATTCCCCTCTCCAAGTTCTTCACTGCCTTAACCGAGTATTGTGTACTCGAGAACACATGGAACAGTGGATAACGGCGTTAGTTAGATCCAATGACAGGACCCAAAGAGTGTGAGTTCAATACCCGGTTAAAGCAGTGGAGAACTTTCAGAGGGAAAATTAGCAGGAGATAGCTGATAACTGACATCCATTAAACATGGCACGTGGAACTAGAACAGTCTACCCCAGTGAGAGAAATAAATTGTTAAGTTCAACATTCCAACCACCTGAAGAAGGCCGGAGCGTTTTGAAAGGTTGTAATAAATATGGCGGCAAAGATGAGGAAAATTGTTCGAATAATGTAAATAATGTAAATGTGACCCGTTTCGTCCATTTGAAATTCGTGAAAGCTTAAAAGACGAAACGCGATGCCCCAAAACATTTTCCACTTTTTCATAGATTTTCCTAAAACAATAGTTATCAAGAGAAAAAAATAAAACATCATTACTTACCTAACATTCAGAAAATGGGACGCCAATGTTGATCATATTTTTAGTTCATGTCGCTTATCGTTGGCAAGATGATCTACTGAAATATGTGCTCTTAAATCTCGAAATGTGTCACCATATTTTCTATCTGTATTAATGACGTGGACCGACAATCTATTCCCTCGAAAAGATTCAGCAAGTAATCTCAAATCGAGTGAAGAAGTCAATGTAGAGATTGCGCAGGTGTTTACACTGAGAGAATGAAATCTGTCACTTCTTCTCGAAAGGCTATCTCCCAAATGATAAGACATTTGACATTTTACTTATCGGCCTCGAATATGAAGCCATAGCGTAAGTGTGAAATATCATAAGTAATTTCTCTGGACAAGAAATAAATAAGTAAATAGATCAATAAAAAGATATGTAAAAGGTTCAGCTTGTTTTTTTTTTTTTTGTTTGTTTGTTTTTTGGGGGGCTTTTTTTTTCTTGTCAGTTTTCACGGGATTATCTCCACTTGACTGTGGCTTCATCGCCTGTTCAGGTTCAAATATTAAAATGGCGCTAGTGACAAATATATCGTATTTTTATCATCTTCCTTCTCGTATTCTCTCTCCCCACTTTCTCTAGCACTTCCACTTCTTCTCTTTTTCCCTCTGTCCATTTACTCTCTCTCTCTCTCTCTCTCTATTTCCCCCGTCTCAAACAAACACAGATCCTTACTCTCCTTTTCTATTTCTCCTTCCTCCGAAATTATACATACCTTTATTTCTCTCTATATCAAACGTTTTATCAAATGCAAATATATATATATATATATATATTTCTCCTCTTCACACTCTTTCTCTCTTTTCTTTCTCACTCTCCTTTCTTTTTAACTAAATTTTCTCTCTCTCCTTTTAGTTAAAATCTTTCTTAAAACTTCTTTTCTTTATTAAACATTCTTTCATTTTTAAAAATCATATAAATATATCCATACCCTTTCACGTAAAAGATCTTTTCTAAATTCACATTTGAAAAAATATATATTTTCTCTCTCTGTCCCTCCAAAACTATACCCTATATCTCTTTCAGTTATTTTTTTTTGTCTTTTATTTCTCTCAGATTCTTTTCTTTCAGTCCTATTTTTCTCACTCTCTGGAATATGACACGTATATTTTGAGCGATTATGTAATGTGCATATCATATCTTATTGGGGGGCATTTCAACAATTCTTCCTACTTTACAACTTTTTTTTTCCATTTTGATATATTTCCTGCAATCCTGAAAAGTCTCCAGAATATTTGTACGCTGCTTCTCTTGCCTTTGATGTGTCCTATGTGTGATGAATTCTCCAAGCCTTCTTTCCTCGTTCTGTCCTTCCTTCCTTTTTTATTTGACACAAGTTCCATTTCGGATTATAAATTTCAGTCCCTCTCTCAGTGCTATTCGCAATTCGCTCCGAGTCCACATACGGCTTAAAAACTTCCTCATTACTGACATGTTCTGTATATGATATCCTCAGCATAGAACCATATCACTATTGTCTTAAGCGTTTCTTTCAGCTGCAATGAAATTATTCACTTTCCTGGCCATATTAAAGATTAGACAATACATAGCAATTTGGCTATTTTTCTAAAATAAAATACCTGCCGAAAATGTCATTGACTGAATATTTGACTAAAAATTTTTAAGAGACTTAATGTAGAAAGGCGGTTTGAAAAATTTGATACTCGCAGAACAAAGTGACATGACAGGAGTAAGAAAAGATTATAGTGACATAGCAAGCGTAACAAAATGACACTGTGACATGGCAAGAGTAACAAAAGGACATAGTGACATGGCAAGAGTAACAAAAGGATATAGTGACATGGCAACAGTAAGAAAAGGATATAGTGACATTCCAAGACTAACAAAAGGATGTAGTGACATAGCAAGAGTAACAAAACGATATAGTGACGTGTCAGGAGTAACAAAAAGACATAGTGACATACCAAGAAACAAAAAATGATTTAGTGACATGGAAAATTTTTGAAAAATATAGCAGTTTTACTGTAACAAAGCATGTAGTGACATAGCAAGAGTAACAAAACTATATAGTGACGTGGCAGGAGTAACAAAAGGATACAGTGACGTGGCAGGAGTAAGAAAAGGATATAGTGACATGGCAAGAGTAAGAAAAGAATGTAGTGACATACCAAGAGTGACAAAAGGATATAGTGACATACCAAGAGTAAGAAAGAATATAGGGACATTGCAAGAGTAACGAAAGGATATAGTGAAGTGTCAGGAGTAACGAAAGGACATAGTGACGTGTCAGGAGTAACAAAAGGACATAGTGACGTGGCAGGAGTAAGAAAAAGACAGTGACATGGCAAGAGTAAGAAAAGAATATAGTGACATGGCAAGAGTAACAAAATGACACTGTGACATGGCAAGAGTAACAAAAAGAAAACAGTGATATGCCAAGTGTAAAAACAGGATATAGTGATATGACAAGAGTAACAAAAGGGTTTAGTGACATTGCAAGAGTAACGAAACAATGTAGTGAGTAAATTATATCACGAGCTTGTGTAAATGAATGTCAGAACCGGATGGTTGGGGATCAGGATTCAACTATTAATTGAAACTAAGAAGGATATCGAATATTGGAGAGCCATGATTGCACACGGCTTGAAGAGGCACGCAAAATAAAAAATACTTTGTACAGTTTCTAAAAACTTTAGATATTACTACGATAGATAGTCTCCAGCCTAGAATCTTCGGCACGTTAGTGTAGCCAAGTTACTATTGCAACAAAATGTCCGCTTTCTGGTCCCATCAACAATGATATGTTTCAAATTTCGAGATATTATCGATTCATTTTCAAAGCATTCACCAAAACATTTCCTTATGCGCGCTGGTCATATAAGCATTCCATGTCAAATCCCAAACGTATCAACCAATAGAAGACAGCAATCCTGCCACACCAAGCCAATGGGATAACGATGGCGATGGCTATAGTGACGACATAGGTATTCATAGATGCGAGGAGAATGATCTTGGAACAAAAAGTCAATATCCTCTGTCAAGTATCCCCCGACCAAAAAAAAGTCAACTCTTTTCGAAAAGGAAACTATGATGGCACCGACCCTGAATCCATCGTAAAAATTCAAGATGCGGAATTAATAAATAGCAAACACTTCAAATATCTCAGCATATAAATCAGTTATAACAATTTTAGTATATGTCATACCTGAACGTACCTATTCTATTATTAATAGACTCTCCCACACATAATAAGCGATCGCCAGTTGAGCTCAGTGGTGTTGAGTGAGTCAGTCGATGTCGGACATTGAATTATCAACCATCACAACTAGATTGCTGTGTCATTAACTCTTATTTCAAGTTCCTAACGTTTTGTACGTCGAACCTAATTTAGAACGACTTAGTGAAATACAAGCCTCCACTGTGAAAACTACTCTACAACAGTATAGGAAATAAATTCATTAGACATAAAATAGGCTGCGTTCGATATAGTTTCGGCCAATACCACAAGTTGCTAGAAAACCAAAAGAGTGAACTTAAATAGCCTCCTCAAATAGGATCTATATGGAGTCTACAGAATTTATATGGAGTCCATGCATGGGCGCCAAACTTGTTTAGAAATATCTAAACTGACAGCTGTACACAACAATATTCTAAGATCAATGGTTAAAAATGTCTTTGAGGGAGTGAAGTCGGTATATCTGGGCAAAGAACATCCTTCGAACATTGTAGACTGACGCTACAGATTCAGAAAGAACTGTGCCAACTAACAGAAACGACATTATTTGATGATTTTTCAACAGCGGCAGTAACTTAAACGGATAGCACATGGAGTTGAAAGAGAAAACAATGACATACTGGAAATATTAGAATTCCACACTACTAAAAATTTATCGGATTGATAAATTAATAAAACCCATTAGCTCTTTAGAAATTTTTCTTTTTTATAATCTCGGATACGAAACAGAGGAATTGAAATAGTCAAAAAATTAAATTTAAAAAAATTGTGCTTAAATATATATACAACCTATTTAAATCGATTATGTCTTCGAGGCTGATATTTATTTTTAAACTTCAAAGTTTTATTTCCTTAATTATCTCGCCTATGGGGACATAACAGATTGCATTTTTTTCATTGTGCCACATCTAGGGTAAAGTTTTATTTAGAAAATCAATATATATATATATATATATATATATATATATATATATTTATAAAAAAACAGGTTTAGTTTGGAATTAACACACACATATATATATATATATATATATATATATATATATATATATATATATATATATATGTGTGTGTATTTAGGCAGCAATCCTTCTTTCATGCACATTTCATTGAAAACGACAGACAAGGTGCTTTTATTTAGTTTTTTTATACAATTTCACATGTGATCTAATATTTTTTCTTTTCGGATGATAAATTATATAAAAAACTGTCCGAATGTTCTTTTTATCCGAGCGCTTTCGGCTATACATTTAGCCATTTCAAGGATTAAATATTTTAACTGTTAAATAAGAAATAGTTTGTTGTATGTATGTTTTATAAAATGTTTTCATTTTCAAAAACACGGTCAAGATATTATGTCCATGTTCAAAGTTAATATTATTAAGTGTTGGTTTTTGTTTTTTTTATTAATAAGGCTTCCATTATTTTTAGCCTTTTTTTTTTGCATGTAGATGATGCTATTATATTAGTATTGTCAACAAGTAAAATGTTGAAAGAGTGTCCGGTAGGTCTCCATGAATATTTAAATGAGATCTAATTGAGCTATTGTCAGAAAGGTATATATATATATATATATATATATATATATATATATATATATATATATATATATATATATATATATATAACAAAGTAGAAAAAAGTAAACCCTTTTTATGATGCATTTTTTTTAAATGGAATTTCAAAAAATTAAATTTGTTATATAGGTTATAAATTTTACAAGAGGACAGGAGTTGGGAATTTTAAATTTTTTATCTAATTGAATTTATTTAGAGTCTTTTTTTTTTTTTTTTTTATAAAAAATTTTTTTTTCCAACATAATATATGTAACATTAGAAGAATTGCCAGGAATGCAAAATATTTTAAAACAAAAGGGAGCAAATTTATATGTAGATAAATATGTTTTTCCTTTGATAAAAGTTAACGACTGGAAAAAAAGAATTGTGGTTTTCAAATTACGATTCATGCGCAATCAATTATTGGATTTTTATTTTTTGATATATATTATTATTATTATTTTTTTTTTGTGCCAGCGGCAGGTATTGGCTGGAAATTTTGGAAAAAGTTTCTTCCGTTTTGCTCATCGTCGTCGTTGTCGGCCGGCGTCCCGTGCCATCACGTCCGTAAATTAAAGGCCGGTCTCGTCCACTCGCAACCAAGAAAGCTGATATAATATGTAACAACCTTGATATTTTTTGAGAAAAATGGATCATATCAGTAGTCATATGCATTCAATGCAGAACGGTCGGAAACGACACAACAAGAACAATCGACACGTTCAATTGATTTTTCGAATCTCATCCTCATCTTTTGTCGCAATTGCCAATAAATAACATTTCGTTGAGTTGTTTCCTTCCGATATTTTTATAGAAATTCAATAATGTCGAACTGAAATTTTTATCTTGTATGTAATATACAGTCTGGTGTCTTAATGTAGGTGGAAAAGGTCCTCAACAAAAATCCAGTGAAGGATATGCAATTGATTAAATGATCTGGCATCTTTTATATAGGAATTTCTCAAAAAAAAAAACATTTCTCATATATATGAATAAAAAGGCAACATAGGAAAATTACCCGCATTAGTCGACGCGATTCTGTTTCGTCTTACAATTTATAATCAATAAAAATGTAAATTTATTTTTATTAAAATTTATATACAACAAAATATTTGTCAAGTATTTTTTAAATTTGAGAGATATCTTAATAATATTATTCAAACACATTTGAGAAAATTCTTACTGCCGAAATGCATATTGTTTCAATTATAGGACACTGCATCGAACAAGGACACTATAGACAAATCTATTTCATATTATTCAACCAAACACACACATACACAAAGTCACACACACATACATATTTAATGATAGTTTTATTATAAATATTATACATTGTCATACGGGAATTTTTATGTTTCCAAACTTTTCCATTTTTTTTTTTTATTTGATAAAGCAGTCAATGTGATAGTAACTTTGGTGAAACAATCATCATGATCATATTAATATATATATATATATATATATATATATATATATTATATATAAATCTATTTAATTCAAATTTTCAAATAATAAATTATTTCACGAAATAAAAAAAAAGGATTTGAAGGATCATATTTTTTTTAAAAAAAGTTTGAGGATCCAAAGTTTTTTTTTTTAAATTTAAATAATTAAAAACATGGAACCATAAAGTGGTCTGTTTTTACGAAATTATTTCTTCTGGATTTACATTGAAATTTCTGGATTTTATCCTCCTTGAGTTTACCCATACGGATTACCTAGTTTTATATAAACTTATATATATATATATATATATATATATATATATATATATATATATATATATTGATATATATATTTTTATATATAACAAAAGTAAGTATTTTTGATGACAAACTAAATTTTTTATGTTGGTAGAGACCACACGAATGCTGGTAATTTAAAACTTTTTTTTTAAAATTAAGCGAATTCATTTAGAGTATTTTTCTTCTTCCTTTTTCTTTGCATAACATTTGTAAGTAGGTATTCCGCACTGTAATATCAGTAGATCTACTAGAAATGGTGAAATATTGTAAGAACCACACACACGCACACACTCATATATATATATATATATATCAATTCACACGTTATTGCCGGCTGGTGAATAAAATAAAAAAACAAAAATAAAAATAACATTGGAAATATGAAGAATGTCGGATTAAAAAATTAAATTATTTGCATTATTTACATTGCTCGGACTGTTGTCCTCATCTTTAGTGCCATATTCACGACGTTTCGGTCGTTGTACGATCGGCCTTCTTCAAGTGATAGGAATTTCGAACCAAACCCTTTATTTCGTTCATCGAGGTAGATTGTTCTAATTCCACGTGCCTCTTCCACATTGCACATTTATACATCCATCATTCGTCCATGCATTGAATACTGCTGGT